CAAATTTTTATGCTTCTTCCTGTCATCCTGGGCTGAGGGACGAGGTCCCGTTCATCACTGCCTGACCAGGAAAGCAGGGAGGAGCCAAGCAGAGCTGCTGAAGGCATCCCAGGGCCTGGGGCCCCTTCTCTGCTCTGTAAGTGGCCACAGTGAGAGGAAGGGGAGGCCTGGCCTTAGCAAGAGCTGATCCATGAAGGAGGGCATTCTGTCTAGCACTCCTGCCTATGCAGAGCTACCTAATCCCACACACATAAAATAAGCAATCTGACATGTGCTTTTAGATTCACATGTTAGTGAAATGGTGGTATGTGTAGGAGGAAAATTTAGTTTTAAATTCTGACAAAATTTCATACAAACAGAAGTTATTGTTTAACATGACCTAAGTATTCACCAGGCACGAACCCAACACATTCCCATCTTGATAAAATGTGTAAATTTCAAGAGTCATAAACTTCCTTACATAAATTCCTTAAGGTTGAGCCAAATGGCCCAAACTGGCAGCTTGGCTTTTGATTAGGTCTTATCAACTGGTCACTTCCCTGGCTGACATAGACTGGTTACAGGGGCACTTAACTCCTGCTGTGTCATAGTCTGCTCTGGTGGCTTGGCCTTATCAACTGATCACTACAGAGACTGCAGCCTCAACCTGCTGTGCCAAAAGATAACATGCCTGCTCATCCTGAGAGAAAAGCCTCAGGAAGAAGACCCTCGAGTACTCCAAGGACACTGACACCTGACACCAAGCAAATTCCTACAGCTGCTTTCAGCAGAGTTCATATACAAAACCAGATTGTTCTGTCCTGCTGATGTCTGTATCCATGGGCAGCAGAGGCCCTTTGCTATGTTCCTTTGTTAAATAAAAGGAATATATTCCTTGCCTGTTGCAGGTCTGGCTCCGGTTCTTATTTCTTAACTGTAAACTCCTTCCTTTTTCTGCTCTCCTAAATCTGACACACCTCATCTCATTTAATCCACGCAATGATCCTACAATGTAAGAATTACCTACTCTGTTTTATAAGGGACTGAACTAGTTAAGGCCAGAGTGTAAGAGTGGGGATTCAGGCCTACACAGTGATACAGAACCAGGGTCTCCATGATCTCATTTATTTCTCACTAAGACTCTGAATTTACTCAGAAGCGTGAATAAATCCATTCACAAGCGAGAAACTGAGGCTCAGAGAAGACAAGCGACTTGGTCAAGGTGCCAAGATGGTGTGACCAGGTAACAGTAGAGCTTGCCTCAGACCCAGGTGCCCTGACCCCAGAACTCGGTGATCGCTGGTCTCTCTACTCAGCATCAAGTTCCAGCCTGACCAGCAAAGACACTGCTGCTTGTCCACTAGTCCTCACTCTTCAGGGATTTTAGCTGAGCTCACAGCCAGCAGGATAAAGACTGTTATTTCCCAGACTCCCTTGCTGCTAGAGCTGGCTAGGCTACCACATTCCGCCCAGTAAGAGGTAGGAAATCTTCCTAAAAAAAAAAAAAAGAAGAAAAAAGAAAAAGGGCGTGTTCTTGCCCCCTTTTAACTTTTCTGACTGACTAAATGAGAGGGAGACTGAGGAGTCAGCCTGGGTCAAGCAGACTGCGGCTGTACAACCTCTCAGGGGGAGAAACTGTTAAAAGGAGTCAAGACCAGACACACCACACCAGTGACGTGAGAGAGCCTGAATCCCTCTCCTTTGAAGTGTCTGAAAGAGCAGCCCAACACACATGCAATCAGAGCACATCCTCCACACTGTGGTCAGACAGCCCAGAGCACTACCCCAGCAGCTGCTGACCTCACGGTGGCCCAGGATGAGAATCTGGTCTGAAACTGCCCCTAATAATGAAGGCCACAGTTTTTCATCTATTGCCATGTCTTTATTTTCCCTCCATTAGGCCCAGCAGTCCTCACTGCAGCCAGTCACCCAAAAGTCACTGACTGAAGTCATTCCGTGGATACACTAGTTCCAACCAAGCCAAGGCTGTCCTGTTCATGGGCAACAGACACTCTCACCTTCCATCCTTGCCCAGCCTGCCTCTGCCAGCCTGCCTTGCCATTCCTCACACAGCACACTGAACTCTCAGACTGACCTACACCTACTCATCTCTCTGAAGTTCTCTGGGTAGCTCCTGCCAGGCTCTTTCATTAAAGTCCCAGCACGCTATGGTAATCTCCAAGGCCCTCCCTGATCTGGCCAAACTCCCCCTGTGGCTTTACCTCCCATGTGACCTCCCCACTGGCCAATCGCTACTCATTCCAGTTCCTCGTGAAGGTCAGGGGACACAGACAGCCCATCCTCACTGGGCACACTCAACCCCTCCTTCGTCACCTCCTTCTCACCCCAGTCCTTGCCACAGGACTTACCTCTGTCACTGTAGTCATCTACCAGGATAACTTCCTCTAACAGAATGTCTGGGGAGGTCTCCAGGACACTGTAAACTGTCCGAAGGAGTGTTGACCAAGCTTCATTGTAAAATGCTATGACAACAGAGGTACTAGGCAAATTCTCATAATTGTATTTCTTCTCTTTGCACCTGCAAGTGGAACAGCACATCGGGAATGAAGAAGTCAGCATGGATTGGTCCTGGGGATAGAAGGAGGATGGGGACATGGGTCACAACCTACAGGCTTCTGGAAATAATCTCCCAAGGCCCCCTGTGTGCCATAAAGAGTCCCAAGAGACTGTAAGAAAGACTGTAACCACGACACCCAACTACCTCTGCCTGGGAGATACTGGTTTTAAACTGTAAAGCTGTATGTAAATTTGAGCAGCTCACAGAGTAGGCAGAATCAGAGGGAGACTGTCACTCCCCTGCCCTGTAGCAGTCTCATCTGTCCACTCCATTCTAATCCCACTGCCAGGTTTTGCTTGCTCAGACTGCTCCCTCCTCCTGGCAGGTCCTGACCTTTCCTCCATTCTCTCCCAAACTCCCTGTCCCTTTCAAGAGTAGCTCAACCCTGGTCTCCTCTAGGAAGCAAAGCATCTGTCCTGGAGAGCCAGTGGCCACAGTGCTACTCCAGTACCTGGTTCCGTCCGTCTCAACAGGTGCCGCTCATAGTATTTCTGTTACTTGGACTGTGCCCACTTTCCCCAGCATGCAGCAGTCACTACGCCTGACAAAGGTCGAGTGCCGAAGGCTAGAATGTCCTGGGGGAGCGCCGATGGCACTGGGAACCAGCTCTCTCTGCTCCATTAGGTGGCAGCTCTTGTGGATGGGGTTAAGCCCATCCAACCCCAAGGATGGACCCTGACTGACACTCACAGTAGCCACTGAGTTCTCTGTTTAGGGGTTTGCTGTCACTTTCCACTGAAAGCTCCCTGGACAACACAGTACTCTATCCTCAAAGTGACAGATAAACTCAGTGTCATGGGCATAAGGGACAGTGCCTGGAAACTGTCAGCAGGAAGTAGTTGACGGTGAGATGGGAGGACACCAGAAGCACTAGAGCTTAGACACTGGGGCCTGGCCCGGCTATCAGCCAGCTCTGTGAGGAGATAAACATCAGGCCTCTGGCTTCCTGGCAGCCAAGGCAAGGCCTCCACAGATGGCTGAGCAACAAATCAAAGGAGCTAGAAGAGGAGACACTGAGCTAACAGAGAGAAGAGTGGAACTAACTCTGCCACTGTGTATTACATACCCAGCACTGCACCGGTGCCCCCTTCCCCACCCATCAATCAGTCTCCAAGTACTTCCTGATTACCTACTAAGCGCCAAACAGGCAAGGGCCCTGTTCCATGGAGCTACGGTTAGGCAGACAGCAATCAGGTAAGCAAGTCAATAATGACAGAAATGACCCCTGCTATAGAGAAAGTCAAGGAAGGTGATGAAAGAGCAACGATGGAGGGGAGTAGAAAGGGGCGACTGCAGGGCAGGTGATGCGGAGGGCCCCTCGAGGTAACATTTAGGATGAAACGGGGCTGGTAATGTAGCTCCAAGAGTACTTGCCTAGCATACACAGAGCCCTAGGTTTGACCCCCAGCACCACGGCTTGGTGGTGCATACCTGTAATCTCAGCACTTGGGATGTAAAGACAGAGGTTCAGAAGAAGTTCAAGGTCATCCCCAGATATATAATGAGTTTGAGACCAGCCTAGGATATACATGTAACCCTGTCTCAATAAAAGGATAAGACCTGTCTGACTTGATGACCTGGTCAGTGCAAAGCAAGGAGGGCATGCTTTGCATATACAGCTTTTATTATGAAACATTTCAAAGTGGTAGACAGAATGCAAGCCTTCCAGTCATCCTTCCCCCATCATCAATGATTGTCAGCATACAGCAATCTTGATCCATCTGTGTCATCTCCCATCACCTGCTAGCTGCATCTCAAATTGGTTTGATTTTGTTTGTCTTGAGACAGGGTCTCCTTTGTAGCCCAGGCTGGCCTGGAATTCTCTATGTAGACCAGGCTGGCCTCAATCTCACAGAGATCCCCCTGCCTCTGCCTCCCGAGTGCTGGGATCAAAGGTGTGCGCCACCATGCCTGGCTTCAGACTGCTTTCAAAGAAAATCTTGCATATCCTAGCACGGAACTCACTATGTAGACCCGGCTGGCCTTGAACTCACAGGGATTCCCCTGCCTCTGCCTCCCTCCCTAGTGCTGGGACTAAAGGTGTGCTCCACCATGCCTGGCCCAATTTTCTTTATAAATGAAAACATAAAAATCGCTGGACATGGTCTCTATGTATATAGACAGGGTCTATGTATATAGACAGGGTCTCTATGTATATATATAAACTCCTGCACAAATTAAGTTAAAATTTGAAGGCGGTGGGTGGGGGGCTCACTTTTAATGCCAGAACTCCAGAGGCAGAGATAAGAGGTCCGCCTGAGCTGCCTAGGGAGTTCCAGGCTAGCCTTGGGGCTACAGGAAGAGCTTTTCCCAGAGTGGAAATGTAGCAATTACGTCCTTCTGCTAATGTAGACCTGGAGATGGCAGTGTTGTCCCGCTGCTGGGGTTGGTCCTCTCTGAGCTTTGTAAAATTAGAACTCTAGCCGGGCGGGCGTGGTGGCACACGCCTTTAATCCCAGCACTAGGGAGGGAGGCAGAGGCAGGGGAATCCCTGTGAGTTCAAGGCCAGCTGGGTCTACATAGCGAGTTCCAGGTTCCAGGACAGCTGGGGCTACAGGGAGGTGCTGTCTCAAAAAGACCAAAAAAAAAAACAAAAAATGTTAAAATAAGGGAGGGGGGTAGGGAAGTGGGCCTTCAAATGGATGAAAGGCAGAGCTTGATTTTTACCTTTAAAACCACTTCCTATGTTAGTTTTACTGTTCCCATTTTAAAGATGAGGCTCAGAGAGGCAGAACTACCTGCTGGAATGCAGGGCTTTGCTTATACTAGGCTGGGATGTTTGTGTCCAGGAATCTTTTTGGAAGGTTCTAGCTATTCCTTGCACCCAACAGGAGACTCAGGGGACCAACCTAAATCTAAATGAAGATTCCTGGATCACCTCTCCCTTTCCTACCAAATTTGGGACCATCCCCCTTCTCCCTCTCAGGGCCTTCTAGTGGATTCCAAGTCCCTGGTAGAAATGCCACCACGGGTTCTGCAGTGAACTCTTGAGACTCCCTGGCCACAGCCTGGATTCATCATCACTGCAACTGCTTTCCCCACAACCCAAATGGCATATCTGAGAGTCACAGTCTCATTCTGGCTAGTCCCAGAGGCCCTACTCAGGCACTCAAGAAAAAGCCAGGCTCACTTTGGTGTCTCTGGTGTCATGATGCCACGGGGCACCTCTGCCAGCACCTAACCATGCAGGAGCTGCATTCCTTGGACTAATATTAGTACATGGATTTAGTAGCACTGACATCAGGAAAGCCTTGTAGCCACACAGGGGACCTCTGGTCCACATTCAAGGGAAGAATTCAGATCCATCTTTGGAAGGAACAGTATCAAAAAATTTGTACGTAGACATATTTAAAACCACCCACAGGAAGAGCAGAAGGCATAGTGGGTGACTGTGTCTACTGCCAAGATGAGGTCATAAGACGGACATTTCCTCCACGTTTCCTCAGTGGAATGCACCAGTGGCAAAGCCAGCTGCCATGCTGTGAAGATATGCAAGCAGCCCCACAGAGGAGTCTACCGACAAGGAACTGAAACTTTCTGTCAGGAGCCAGGTGAGTATACCATCTTGGGAGCAGAATCTCAAGCCCTGGTTAAGCCTTCTGACAAAAGACAGAGGAACCATGTTGGCTGAACCTTTCTCAGAGACTCTGATCTAGACACACCCAGCTATGGTACTCTCAGATTCCTGGCTATAAAAATGATGTTAAATAATAAATGCTTATCGTTTTTTAAAATCACTAAGTTTTATGGTAATACGGACCTTGAAATAAATCACAAAGAAACTATTAGACCCAATACTTCATAAACCAACAACACTGTACTGTTCAAAAATGCCAATGTGTGGGTGTAGTGGTGCACACATTTAATTTCAGCACTCAGGAGGGAGAGGCCATCTCTGTGAGATGGCTTGTAGCCATGCAGGAAGCCTGGTCCATATTTAAGGGAAAAATTCAGATCCATCTTTGGAAGGAACAGTATCAATATTGAGACCAGCCTGGACTACACAGAGTTCTAGACCAGCTGGGGCTACAGGAAAACCCTGACTCAACAAAACAAAACAAAACAACAAAAATACCAATGCCATGAGAAACAAGAAAAGGCTGAGGAATTGTTCCAAACTAAGGAGACTAAAGAGGCATAGTACAAAGTTGGGCGTGGTGGCACATGGTTGTAACCCAAGCACTGGGGAGATGGGAGCAGGAGGAGCAGGAGTTC